ACCAGCAATCTTCAAAAGATCTGCTTTTGTGTTCAACATAAGAAAGCAACTCATACAGGTTTGGAACGACATGAGGGTGAGTAAATGATGACAGAATTTTCATTTTTGGGTGAACTATCCCTTTAATGAGGTTTCCAGTGTAAATGATGAGCAATACCAGGCAGAAACCGTTTGCAGTTTGACAGCTCTAATTTAAGTGCATCGCGATTCATGGTTGTTACACAACAGACACACACACAGACCTGTGAGAGCAGATGTACCTGCCGTTCAGCAGAGACGTTCAAAACACACGTCCAGCAGCACTTGATGTGCCTCTCCAGAATCCATTAGTGTAGAGTGGAGTGGTGCTCAGTGAGCATTATGGGCTGTTGGAGGACACACCACAAATGAAGAGAGCAGAAAACAACATACTCGTCGATCCTCCAGCTGAACGCTGTTCAACATGGATCTTTTCAAACAAACTTTAGCTTCACTCTTACGAGCACACGGCTCTCATTTATGGGGACATCAGCCTCGTGAGAAGAGCCACTTAAGTTCTGTAAAACTGCATCCACAAGAGAACTGTTGAGAATTTAAGTTTTTGCTAACAGAAGTTGTTTTGATAATCAACATTTTGGCTTCAGATGATACAGTATTGTGTTGCGTTTCATCACTTTTTAAATTCTGTCATCTTTGTAGTGGAAACAGAGAGACCTTTTGAGACCGGATTCCTGCTGTTCACTTCTCAGCCTCAGAGGTTTAATTTCGACCAGCGCAAATCTCCCAAGCAGTTGCCACTAATGCACAGGCTCACCTCAAGAGACCCGTTATGAGCGGCCACCTTTCTGGAGCTCATTCCCTCCAAGCTTTGATTGCAATAACATTTCAAGTTTGTATTCAAAATTAGCACTATTAGGCACTATTTTAATGAAACACAATCAAACCCAAAAGCAAATGCTTAGTAGTGGATCAAAATTTTCCGCAATTTTGTCCACAGTGGCTTTCTGAGCTTTTCTTCTACACGCCTCTCTACTGAGCAAATGTTTCTGTTTATTACTTTTAGCTTTTGGAGGCATCTTGGTATGAAATCCTTAAGCATAGACTAAGTTTTAGTCTTATAGCATATGTGTCCCCTCATGTTGTTCTTCCCCAGCATTCATCATGTGCTCGGTGATCAACATTGACACTTTCTGTTGAGGCAGATCCAGATGTTGGCCCCACTTTGCTGGGATCTGGCAGCAGGTGAAGGTGAAAGGAGGAAAATGAGAGCAATTCAGTTCTATAAAGGTTAATGAGACAGCATCTGGTGCTGTTGAATTGTTTAGCATAACCTGCTAATAAAAAAAAGAGGACAATTCAGACGGTTCAGCACAGTAATATGTACCTGTAGCTCAAATTCTGTCTGTAGTTATCGCAGATTAGCTCACCCAAGACGAATGTTAATATAAGGTTCAACCAAGGCTTGTTTGAGCCATTTCTGTGCAGTAGCTGTGAAGTTTATAGGCCCGTTGCAGTATTATTGGTAGTAAAAGAGAGGTATGACAGAAATATGTTAGTAGAAAAAAGGGGGGATGGGATTTGGACATGACATGGATTTGAACCTACATCTTTAGCTGCATGTACTGCATGTCTAAACACATGTGCTAACCACTCAGATATCAAAAAGCCTTAACGTGATAGTTTACCCAAGAATTCATTGTATAATAATGTATATAATACGTATATAATAATAAAAGCCAGTGTTGGTTTGGACACCATTGACTTTATATTGAAATATTCTTCATTTTGTTTTCTACAGAAGAAAGTAAGTCATACAGGTTTGTAATGACAGAGGGGTGAGTGAATATTGATAGAATTTAAATTTTGATAGAATTTTGAATATTGATAGAATTTAAATCTTTTGCAAGATAATTTATAGCAAAAGTGAAGAGATGATGGATAGACAAGAAGGAAATGGGATTGGGACATACCTAGTGGTGTAACAGTACACAAAATTGACAGGTCGGTGTGTGTGCTATGGCTCTGCATCTGACATGCATCTGACAGGAGGGCAAGCCTCTTTAAACTATATGCTTATGAATTTGTTTGAAGTGCTTAATATAAATTGGATTGTGCCATTTTCCAACAACTGTATCCTCTCTGTTAATTTTTAAATGCATTTGAAGCATAATAC